TCACTTTTATAGAACACTATTTGCTGCCTACATATACCAATATATATATATATATATATATATATATATATATATATATATATATATATATATATATAAACTATGTAACAGAGGATTTCGGAAGCAGGTTTTCTTTCGCACCTTGCTGGTTGTCCATAGCGACATATTCATCGTTGGTGTCCTTGGCCGTTTGTTCAAGGCTTCATATTGTGCACTCATCGTTTTCGGAGTGCCGATGGAGAATGTTGCCAAAGTTAAGCTATTTGTTCAACGTTTCGATCAGTTTCATAATCATTTTCTAGCAAAAGTCCTACATTTTAAACATGTAGTTACAACCACAGTACATATTCAAAAGTATATTTTATCGTATCGCCATAAAATGCATTTTCGAGACCTTTGCAAAATGGCATTTACATGCTGCATGATCTAATTCCAAGCACACTTTCATCAACCACATTAAAACCTTACTTCTCCGGTAGGATTGCATTAGGGAGGGGGGGGGGGGGGGAGAAGTCGCATCAGTTGCATGTCGTTAAGTGGTACCTGTATGAGTTGTTTGTTTTCTATATTTCAAGTGCCACGAGGCCCATATGGTCTATGTTGTGCGTAAGCATGGTAATGCTCATGAATGACATAGTTCTGGTGAGTGGAATGTTGCGGTGTGCCCGTGCACGTGTTTTCGCTGACCCCTCCCGCAAGCGCATGGCTAAACGTAGGCTGAGACTTGTTGCAGCGAGGCCGATGTAGATTACTTGGCGGGTTTCACAGTCCCCAGTAGTACACTGGAAACAGTAAACTGTATCAGTGTGCCTCAACCCAACTGTATTTTGGTTGAGGCTATTCTTGATCGTCACAAGGAGCTAGACCGGCTGCGTCAAATACTTACCAATAACGGTTGCCCAAAAACTGGCTCTGATGATGTCACGAAATCTTCTCGCTTACTTTCTCGAAATAGACAAACAAAATAACAGCTCTCCTAATCGTCATGAAACATCGAAACTTGCCTACGAAAATACTAAAACCCAATTTGAAAAACTGACCAGAAAGGATTACGTGACATACGTGACGTGAATAGCAGAAGGGTTTCACAGTCCCCCAAAGTCCCATGTTTGATGTCATGAAATCGTCTTACCTAAATATGAACCTAACCATATCTTCATTCTCCTGGTTTTTTCCCAGGGATACGGCTAGTACTACGGTCTTTTCTATATCTGGCAAATCATATAACAAGATGCAATGATATAGCCCAGAACCTGTAGCTACTTCCTGAAACATATGATCCTCCCCAATTATCTCCTTTCCTCAATATATAAAAATGGCTATCTGCCTGTATGGCTGCCTGTCCATGCACATATGCATATATATATATATATATATATATATATATATATATATATATATATATATATATATATATATATATATAGATAGATAGATAGATAGATAGATAGATAGATAGCTAGATAGATAGATATAAATATATAATATATATATATATATTAATATATAATATATATAATATATATATATATATATATATATATATGTATATATCTATCTATCTATCTATCTACGATGCGATCTAGCGATCGATGGCTGAGATATAGATATATATATATTATATATATATTTAATATATATAATATATATCTATATATATATATATATATATATGCATATGTGCATATATATATATGCACATATATGCATATGTGCATATATATAATATATATATATATATATATATACATAAATATACCTATGTATACATCCATATACATGCATACATAAGTGTTAAATGCCAGCATACATACACAGCCACCCACATATACATACATAAATATACACATATATATGGTTATTTAGTTCTCTTAGTTCATTATCCACCCAACGCCACCTTAACATCATTGCCAACTTCATGAATTTGACAAAATGAATGAACTGTAGGATGATAACACTCCAGTGGTAGCATGAGCTTTGGGGACAATCAGGTCAAATTGGAGATCAGATTGCATCAGACCAGTTTCTCAACTGGGTCAGATATATACATGGTAAGGTTTTTCCTCATGCTTGTCTTCCTGAATACAACAACATATTGGGTATTTGTGTGCTTGTTGCCAGGGTTTCTCAACATACTTCATAATCTTTTATGATCATTCATTAAGTTCTGCTTTTACCGAGGATAGGTGTGCCGAGCTCAGCGCTCTGGTTCTCCAAAATGAGGTCTGGCTAAGTTAAGCTGGATCTACTATAATGTTTTCATACAAAATGTTTAAGAATTTCTTCCATGAAATAACTTGTATGTCGTACACTGACACTCACTGCAACCCTGGCCATGAGCATAAATTGTGTTGACTGTGCAGCAGCCTCTTAGTGCTTGTGATCCACTGTGCATGTGCTACAACTGCTGCCACTAGGCTTATGCTACATCTGATAGATTCAGCTAACATGCACCTTTTAAGTTATCTTCAGATCCAGGACCCAGAATTGACTAAGCTTAAATCAAGTCAACATTTCAGGCATGAAATGCCTTTTCCCCTGATGCCATGTCATGGTGATAACATAGTATCCATCTACTTAAATGGAGAATTTCACACAGATGTGTATGCTAACTGACGTGTTTGACTCAAGCTGGACCATGAGTCTGCTCAGGAGCCAATCATTTTAAAGTGGGCTGTGAGCTGTGTCAGTTCACTAGGAAAAATGCTTCTTGGAGTCATGGGCCTATCACATTCTTCATAAGTTCCATAAGCTCAATCATGAGCTTATCATGTCTACCTATGTTGTGTCGGTGCTTAAGGTGGTTGAAACTGAAATGGTGCCATGAGGAAATAAACCATGCATTTACACCTCAGCTGGAAACTAGGGGATATATATATATATATATATATATATATATATATATATATATATATATATATATATATATATCCCCTACGCACACACTAAACCACACAAGTTCACATGCAGGATTTCAACTTATAAATGAAGTCAAGTCTGGTTGTGATGTTGGGCATGAGATAACAAAACCTTTTAACAACATGGTTAACATGCCAAAATAAGACCAGTTTGTCTGATGTCATCACCATAGCCAGGTAATCACCTACTAAACTTCAGCATTGTTCACACATATACACGTGCTAGCCAGACCTGTGTTCAGCTCAAGCTGAATCATGAATCCGTTCATGAGCCGATCATTTTGGGGAAGCTATATGCTGTATCCCCTTACCAGGAAAAATGTTTTTTGCCTCATGACCAGACTCCCATTTGTCATACATTTCATGATCTGAATCATAAGCTAATTATTTCTTACCATGTGACATCAGTGAGTCACAGGGCTGAAAATAAATTGGCAGCATGAAGAAATACAGTGTGTCCTAGGTAAACTGACATGCCATGTTGGTGTCTAAATTAACACCATGCAGTATAAGTCATAAGACATTTTGCAACGTCAACACAGAATTCTCATTGAAATTTTTAAACAGGAAAACCAATGCTATTCATTGAGAAGTTTGCTGAATATCTGCCATGAACAAGATGATATACATATATATATATGTATATATATATATATATATAAATTACATTCAGCCAAGATGCGCATACATTTTCAACACAATCAACATGCAAAAGTAATGCCTCTTTGCCTGATCTGATCACCACAACCAGGTAACCATGTGCTCAAATAACTGCAACATTTTTGCACACATATACACACATGCTAACCACACTTATGTTTGATGTTAGGTGAATTGTGAATGAGCTTATGAGTCAATTATTTTGGGATGAGTTATAAGCTGCATTTGTTCACTAGGAAAAATGCTGCTTCGAGTCATGAACTACATCATATTTTTCACACATTTCATGAGGTGAATCATGAGCCAATCATTTCCAACAATGTTACATCAGCAACTAGTGAGTCAGTAACACCAGTAACGTGGCTGAACCTGGTTGGCAGGATGAGTATATCTATTGTGTTCTAGGTAAATTAACATACAATTTCAGGAAGTTCAAATCAGCACCACACAGCATTAATCACAATGTTTTTCACTGCATCATGAGTTTGTTATTTCTATGCAGCAAACGCCATACTGTTGATAAAAAATCCTGGAATCTTCCGAATCCCGGCTGCGAACTATTCACTTTTACCACCTGCTTCAGTTATGAGTCAAATGACTCAATAAAAGCACTGCATCTGAACTAAGTCAAATAAAAAATAGAATAGGAATGAGTCATGACCTGAATCAGATCCTAAATTCCGTGATACATCCCTTGGGTGACTCAAGGAATTTGAGCCAAACCCATGCCTAACGCAAACCACTACCTGTAGTCCAGGTATATCAGTATCATACTCATCCCACAGAAATCGTTTTGTAAACTATGTGCAAGTGTTTCTCCGGGCGTTTCCTTACCGCTTGCCCACGCCCCCACTGACCAACAATCGGCAGACTGCGTCCTCGAAGCAATTCGCAATCAAATGAGAATCGGGATGCCAAAATGGTGAAGGTTTTCCACTCCCATAAAACGAAATGCAATTCACGAGATTCACCTCTAAAAAGGCCTCATTTCCGCCGTTGAGTCCTGGGTTACCGCACTGCGTTGTTTGTATCTACACGTGCTAAACTCCGCCAGGTTTAGCACGAATCAGTGCTATGCACGATTCCCCCCAGCAATCATCCGTAGTAACTAGGCAAGGCCCTAGAGCGGACGGCCCAGGTAACTAGGCTAGAGGGCGCGCCGCTCCGGCGCATGTGATATCCCGGCAAGGCTACCTAACGTCCCATAATCTAGAAGCTTCGATATTTCCTTGAAACGATCCTCTCCTAGTCTAAAAAAATGTGATGTCATTATGTTGTAACAAAATATATAGAACCACAAATGTGAAATAATACAAACATTAAATGACGTCATAAAAATAATATTCAGGACCATCGGTACATCAGGACAATGCTGGTTCTTATTCCGGCGCGCGTGTGTCGATTCGAAAGGTTGGGGTGCGGCGGGCGCGGCGGCGTACACGCGAGCCGCTCTTTGCAGAGCGGGAGTTGCCTTGTTAGGGAGCCCGGGCATTTATTCCATTGTGGGGATCCGCCTTTGCCTGTGGTTTCTGTGGAAGTGACATTTTTAGTTTCTGACCGACGTCACTTCGCGGCGCTACGTGATAAAGGTCGCTGGATATACTTACGCCCGAAGGGTCGTCGGCTGCCGCTCAACCGCTGGTCTGCCTATCGTTGAGCCTCATTCACAATGGTAAGTGCGTGTCACAGTTTTACAATTGGGTGTTTATGTATTTGTAACCTATCCGCAGGGTACGACGTTGTTGGGTCTTATGGTTGCTGGTGCATTTCAGTATTTAGATGGGCATGACCTTCTAAATGATGGATTCCTGCTTTGCTTATGTGTGGTGCTGGATGAGGAGGCAGACATGAGGCTATGCAGTATAACTTTGGCAGTTAGTGTGTTGTTGAGCTCTTTTGATCTCAGAAGCATGCTACCTGGTTAATGTCTTTGTGCCATTGGGCTTTGGATGAAAGGTTTTGTGGAGTAGCTGGCTCAAAATCAAGTGCTATTGACATAATGGATGCTGTCGCATGCCATCTACCCAAAATGCCTGTCAGCAAGACTGCAAATAGCATGTTATGCTGAACATTTCAGACATAGTAGTAACATTGTGGCTGTTGTATTACTGCATGTGTGCTTAAATCAGGGCACTCTGATAGGAAGTCTCCTCCTGTTTTAGTGCTTAAGGAACCACTAAAGAAATTATGGTGCCGGAAAGGTACATTCAAGCAAAGATGCTCTGAAAGCATTTTTTCACTCAACATTATTTTTGCAATTCAGCTCTACTTGGCCTGACCTGAGTGCAGCATATGAACATGGACAGGATAACTTGCTGGAGCCACTGCCACCTTGGCTTGGAGTGATGGCAGGTTGAATGTCCTAGAAACCTCAACCTGCCACCCCCTACTACAGACATCCCAAGGGAACATGATGGTATTTCAGCTGTAGCACATGGGATGGATCTGATGTACATGAGTCACAAGGAGAATCCAATATGAAAACTGACCACCAATGGAGCGTCTTTGAGCTTACAGTACAGCAATCCAGCCCTAAATATATTTGGCACATAACTGAAGAACAGGGGATCTCTCAGCTGACCTCAGCTGACCTCAGCCACCATTTCAGTTCCAAACTAGGACCACCACTGAGTTCCAAATAGAAGTGGATGCCCATCGTGCTTACACCATGCACAGCATGCCACATCTACAAAGGAGCAGGCAGCTGCCAGAGCAGAAATGTAGTACGAGGACTCAGAGGTTAAGTGGTTCTAAAATTCCTGACCACTATAAGGTGTGGCACTGTGATGTGAGCTTGTAAGGCAGTCTTTGACACAGTTATTCAAAACATTCCAACATGGTAGGGACCTGGTGACTTAGTCTTGGTCCCACAAGATGACTCTCCATTAATCTTGTTAATCATTGAAGCCTGGTCTGCCTAGTCTTGATCACACAAGATGTGCTCCATCAATGTGTTCCTGTTAAACACTGAACTCTTGTCATCTGCACCATCCTTACATCACGCCTGCCTCGAGCCTTGAGATGGACACATAGCCTTGCCTTGGACACTACCTTGCACCTCCCGGCCTGACTCGGTCGCACGCCGCTCGCCACAGACGTCGCTGAACCCGGTGCACGTGCTGCGCGGCGGCGCCGAGGAGGAGAAGGCCGAGATCGCGCGGCTCTCCAGCTTTGTGGGCGCCATCGCCATCGGCGACCTGGTCAAGTCGACGCTCGGCCCCAAGGGCATGGACAAGATCCTCATCTCGGTTGGCCGCAGCGAGGGTGAGCGGCCTCACCGCGTGTGACGTGGTCACCACTGGCGCAGGGAGGCATTCAGCCCGTGGTGCGAATGCTGTTTGAGATGACGATGTGCCCCTAGTTTTTTTTTTTAAGCCAGTCACCATGATTATAAAGAGCAGATGACTCATTCTCAGTGAGTGCGTATAACCCCGTTTCAAATCGCGCCGAAAACTACCAGCCGTGCATCGCTATCTCGCTCGATTGCAAACGTTTGCAGCATGTAACATTCAGTAGATGTTTATTACATTGCTTGCATATTGCATCCCAAACACGGCAAATAATTCCTTGGAATCGTGGCGAATAACAGAGCGCATCCTGGAGCAGCATGGTACGCGACTTTCCCCGCGTCGCGTCCTTTTTTCGCGTTCTGCCCGTCTAACGTTGGCTGCCGCTCACAAAGGCAAGGTGGAGGTGACCAACGACGGGGCGACGATCCTGAAGAACATCGGCGTCGATAATCCAGCGGCGAAGGTGCTGGTCAACATGGCGTGCGTGCAGGACGACGAGGTGGGCGACGGCACCACCTCCGTCACCGTGCTGGCCTCCGAGCTGCTGAAGGAGGCCGAGAAGCTGGTGGGCATGAAGCTGCATCCACAGAACATCATTGCCGGGTGGCGTAAGGCCACTGACGTGGCGCGCCGCGCCCTCGCCGAGTCCACCGCCAACCACGGGTGAGCTGCCCCGCCGTTGACCAGGGAAACTGGCTCGCGGGTTCGGCCGACGAGTGTGTTGCATCTGCGTTTTGGAAGCTTGAAACTGCCTTGCTGTAGAAAAGCCGGCCACGGTAGGTTAGTGGAGGTGGCAGTGACATAGGTTGGAGATTCTTGTCGTTCTTTGAGTGGCACTCTGCCCCTGCCTCGGCACTCCTGACAGTGTCTTTATGGACAGTGTCGGATGGTTTTTCCGCCATCGATTTGTGCATATTGGGCGCATTATGTCGCTGCACTGGACTCACCCGTGCGCCAAAAGACCTCTGACATACCATGTGCTGCAGCGCTGCCCGTCCACCACTGTCCTGCCCACCGTTGTCTAACACCGCCCGCCCCACGGCCGGGCAGCTCGGACCCGGAGCGGTTCCGCCAGGATCTGATGAACATCGCCCGGACCACGCTCGGCTCCAAGATTCTGGCGCAGCACAAGGACTTCTTTGCCGGGCTGGCGGTGGACGCCGTGCTGCGGCTTAAGAGCTCCGGCAACCTGCAGGCCATCCAGATCCTCAAGGTCCAGGGCAAGACGCTGCGGGACTCGTTCCTCGACGAAGGTGAGCCGGCAGGGTCCTGCCGCTGCTCATTGACGTGGGAGCATTTACCACGTGCTGCACGCTCACATCAGTCGTTCACTGACTGACTCTCGCACTCCCTTGCGCAGTCGCGTACCAATTTGCTGTCATTTCCACTCGCGCATTCGCTCTCCCCATTATTCAGACACTTTGGCCAAGGCTTCCGCCAACGCAACTGAAACGTCTACCTGCATAAGCTGGCAGGAATGGCTGAGGTTGTAACACATATTGCCAGGGTAAGAGCTGCGTGCCGTGCGCGTTTAATCCATGCGTTTGCCGTTTCCATGTGGCGGGAGCCCGCTCACAATGGTTCGCTACACTCCGCCAGGCTTCATCCTGAACAAGAAGATCGGCGTGCACCAGCCGAAACGGATCGAGAACGCGCGTATTCTGATCGCCAACACGCCCATGGACACGGATAAGATCAAGGTGTTCGGTTCGCGCGTCAAAGCTGAATCAACGGCGCGCGTGGCCGAGTTGGAGGTGGCCGAGAAAGAGAAGATGAAGGACAAGGTGGAGAAGATTGTCCAGCACGGCATCAACGTGTTCATCAACAGGTGCGTCGCTGCCACCGCGCCCGCTGTATGAACGGATTCTGGGTGTGTGGTTGTGTTGGTTACCGCCAATTGGGCACACAGCAGCGTGCATTCATCCGTGGTTTACCTTGATTTCTGGGAAATGTTGGCATGCTAATCAGAGTGTGTGTCCCTGAGAAGTTGACATATGACTCCATGTGCGCTTGTGATAGCCATCAGGTCGGGCGTGGGTCCGGAGGGGCCATTACCAGGCGCATGCTCCTGGATCGTCGTGTCAAATTTGTTAATTACCAAGCTTCCACCCTCAGTGAGGCTGTCCAGTGCCGTTGCGAAAAGCTGGTGTCGGCGGCCGCTGCCGGTGCCACGTGCTGGCTTGACCCGATGTCTCCCCCCCCCCCCCCCTCCACCATAACGGGACCCTCGTGTGCCGTCGGCAGGCAGCTGATCTACAACTACCCGGAGCAGCTGTTCGCCGACTCGGGCGTCATGGCCATTGAGCATGCCGACTTTGACGGCATCGAGCGGCTGGCGCTGGTCACCGGCGGCGAGATCGTCTCGACATTCGACCACCCGGAACTGGTCAAGCTCGGCGAGTGCAAGCTCATTGAGGAGGTGCGCCACGCAGAGCGGGGCTCCGGTAGCGAGACGGCGTGTCGGGAAACTGGAAAGGGATCAGCTCACTCACGTTGAAAACATGCTGTCTGCGTGGTTCGTGTTGTTTTGTTGTTTGGTTGTACTGGTCTTAGTGGGGTAATTTGGCTTCAGCAAGCCACTGTAAAACAAAGTGTATACAGCCGTCAGTCATAGATGCTGCGGCAGAGACGTGCTCCAGAGCCGACTTACGTTAGAGCGGTGAGGTGCCCCATTGTCCATCCCCTGCCGTCGCTGCTACGCCGCCTGTTCGGCAGGTGTTCGTCGGCGAGGAGAAGATGCTCAAGTTCTCGGGCGTGCCGCTCGGGGAGGCGTGCACGGTGGTGTTGCGCGGCGCCACCCAGCAGATCCTGGACGAGGCCGAGCGGTCGCTCCACGACGCGCTCTGCGTGCTCACGTCCACCGTCAAGGAGACGCGCACCGTGTTCGGCGGAGGTACGGCCGGCGGGCGGCGCGTCGGATGGGCCAGGGCGCGCGCAACCTGTGGGGGAGGGGAAGGGGGTCTGCGAGTGGGTGACTTGCCTTCTCACGGTGTGGGTGTGGTGCTACGTGGTTGATACGTGTACTGGGAGCGTTGCTTTTTCGTGCGTCTTATGCTCTTGCGGGCTGAGAAAGACGCCAGGTGGCCGGCGCTGATCCACTGTCGCATTTGGATCGGCTCCGTAGTCGTGTGTCCCAGGTGGGAGCAGTTGGCGCCGGCCGCCGGCCGTGGGCTCCCGGTTGGCGGCCGTCTGGCGGCGTCGGCTGTGGTGGACCGCGGAAGCGACGAGGCGGGTGGCGGTCGCTGTGACGGGCCGCCGGTGCCGCTGCCGGGCCCGCTCTGCGCGGCGCCCAGTGCCGCAGTCTGGCCTCCCGCTGTGTGGCCGGGGCGCCGTCTCCCGCGGCCGTTACAGCGTGTGCTCGTCCGTCGGCAGGCTGCAGCGAGACGCTGATGGCCGTGGCTGTGCTAGCCGAGGCGGCGCGCACCGCCGGCAAGGAGGCCGTCGCTATGGAGGCGTATGCGCGCGCCCTGCTCCAGCTGCCTACCATCATCGCCGACAACGGCGGATACGACTCGGCGTTGCTGGTCAGCCAGCTGCGCGCCGGCCACACGCAGGGCGAGCGTCGACTCGGCATTAGTACGTCCCAGCCGGCAGCGGCGGCGAGAGTCCGCGGGGCGCGTGAGCTGTCCCAATTGCCGTACTGTAAAGAGCAGTGCTGTGATCCTCTTGTGCTCTTTGTGTACAGGCGTCCATTCGGACACACTGGTATTGATTGGTGTGAAAACGCTGTGTTCTAGCACAGGTCTGGTCATATTTTGGTCGATGTCTGTCATTCAGACCACCTGATCGGTGGCTTAGAGACACAAATGTTTTAAGTGCGGGACACCTAGTATGTTACGGTGCCCTCATGTGTTGACCAACGGCCTCCTGACAGTCTTCTGTCAGCTGAGTATGCAGCATTGGCGCCAGAGGACCGCAGCCTTCACTTTTCCTCTGTTCGCCGCAGACATGGCTTCGGGCACGGTGGGCGACATGGAGGAGCTGGGAATCACCGAGTCGTTCATGGTCAAGCAGCAGATGGTGGCCTCTGCGTCCGAAGCCGCCGAGATGATCTTACGCGTCGACGACATCATCAAGGCAGCGCCGCGCAAGCGGGTGGACGATCGGGGTCACTGCTAGTGCCCGGCGGGGCCGCTAGGGCGGCGCCACATGCGCTCCCTCCAGCACTCACTGGTTCCAGCCTGGTCCGTATGTGATTGACACAATACTTTGTCCTTGTTTCATTAACGATTTTCAGTTGCTGATCAATACAATAATTCAAGTCCTTTTGCGTTATTGATGCCGAGGAGGCGTGAACCGGGGCGTCGGAGTCTGAAACGAGGTTCCGGCAGTGTCGGGGGGGGGGGGGGGGAGGTCTTACTGTCGACGCGAGAAGGGCGTGAAAAGACTGCTAAGGAGCCACATAAACGGCAATCTAGAAACGTGGATACTTTGAACAGCTGAACCCAGGCCTGTCCAGAAGCGGGCGGGAACGGAAACTTGAAGGGATACGACCGATTTCCCTCGAAGGCCTTTCAGGTTTTCTCCAGCCTGAATTAATTGCTGTCGCACAGGAGGTGGTGCTGATGCACGGACGTCTGCTCCTCGCCTCGAGGACCGTTGTGTCGCGCCTCGCAGTGTTTCGCTCAGTAGTGACTGTCCGCGGATGGGGCCCGTTCCTTATCGGCGTGACCGCTCGGCCAGGCCCACAGCGGGGCGCGTGAACCCGCAGCATCAAGTGCTTCCGGTTGGTAGTGTGCTGGAGCGCGCGCGTGGCTCCTGCGGTGACGCCTACAGACCAACCGCCGGACATGTGTAGCACGCGCACGGCGTACATTGGTTGTAATCCGAACTAGTTCTTTATCTCTAGCCGTGCCATACCAAGGCCCACCATCTTGAGTACCAAACGATCCCCCGAGGATGGTCTCAGAGCCAACGACAGCAACGCTCCGATCAATTGAAACTCAGCGCCTTGCTGCAGCACGGCAAGCCAACCGCTGTATATTTCCCCAGCGACGAATACCACCGTTCACAAAAGCACGCGGAGCGCTTCTAGCGAACAGCCGCGGCCGAACGCACACGGACGGACAACGGGCTCCGGCCGCCAACGCCGCGCTCTCTCCCTCACAGCGGCCGGCGACCAGTGGTGTAGGTGCTTCAACGGTAACACACGTGCGAGGTGCTGGAATACATCGCCGGCATCAAAATAGCATTGCTTCGTCATAACACGGTGGAAAGTACCATAGAAGCGCCGGCTCACACAATGGGCTCAAGAGACAACCGTCTCCGGACTAAAGGAAGTAGTTCTTGTACTGGGTCATGTCGAAGACCTCCGCATGGCCTGGATCGCGCGGAATGGCCGACGACAAGCTGCTGGTGTCAGCAGCGGCCGAGCACCAGCAGGCCATCATCGTGTCTTGCGGCCGCGGCAGCACCGCCACCAACGGCTTGTCCTTCATCGCGCAGGCGTTGTAGCACGAGAACACGTCATTGAACTGTCCGGAGCGTTCCCACTGGCCAGGCGGGCTGCCGTTCTCCGTCACTATGCCGCTGGTGAAGGCGGCCGGGAACACACCTGCCGAACGGACAGCGTCAGAGAGAGAGAGGGGGGGGGGGGGGGTGGGGGGTGGCGCGATCACAGAGCCAGCGGCGACACAACCGGACGGTCCAGAGCGGGAGGGGCGACAAAGTCTGCGATGGTTGGAGCCAGCAGCGGCACAGCCGGAAGGTTCAGAGTGTGTGTGTGGGGGGGGGGGGGGGGGGGCAGCACAGTTTGCGAGGGTCGGAGCCAGCGGCGACACAGCCGGACGGTCCAGAGTGGGAGGGGCGACACAGCCGGACGGTCCAGAGTGGGAGAGGCGACACAGCCGGACGGTCCAGAGCGGGAGGGGCGACACAACGGTACGGATTGGAGCCGGTCGCTGTGCGCAGCAGCAAGGAAAAAGACGGCCATGGCGGCTAGCTCGACTAGCACATACCAGTAGGTGACATAGTAGAAGACACCAACACTCGGACATAGTTGGTTGCTTCGGTCCTCATTTCTGTCCAAGCGCCCGCTGGAAAGGGAAACAGACGGCGGTCATAGACAAACTTCCCTCGTGAGTACCGGACTGCAAATGGCCAACACTCGGCATACACAAGCGGCACGCGGCAGCGCGTCGCACGCCGCAACCCGAATTACGCACCGGTCACTCGAAGATGGTGATTTTTGGTGCTTTTCGGGAGCTTCGGCTTCACAGGCTATTTGACTTCGATGCATCAGCCACTCAAGTCACCCAATAACTTAATGTCGTATGGAGAACGTGTCTGTCCTTTCTTTTGGCATTCCGAACCGGTCTAATGAGTGCATCTCCCGTTGAACGCAGCGCGTGTGTACGGCAGAGTGAAACTTACCCGTGTCATCTTGGATGTGCAAGGAACTGATGTCGAACACGGACATCAGGTGCGGGTCGTCCGTGAACTGATCGCTCGTGACCAGGTTCGTGTCGTCCAAGCAGAAGCACTGCTTCTTGTTCATGGCTGCCATTGTGTAGGATCCCGCCCAGCAGTGCTGCACGCAGCTGTCGGCGTCGCCAGCGCCCGCGCTGTACGCCACACTGTTGGCCGCTGCCACTGTCGCCGCGCTGCTGAACCTCACCGGCAGCACCTCTGCGCACAAGGCAGGCGCAGGGCTCAATGTTGCCGCCCAGGCCGCCGGCGATGGGGACAGTCGGCAACAATAGGATGAGCTTTGCAGATGCAGCAGAGAGGCGAGGCGTGATGCACGCGGCATGCGGTCGAAAAGGCAAAAGCAAAGACATCAGCACCGCGTGAACGCGATCCATATTTGCATCGTCATTTTTCTACCGTGTACCTTTAGTTTAAACGTTTTCCAGAAACCAGGTCACATACCTTCATAAGGTTTTTATGTCAACACGGTCGTTCCAAGGCAAGTCATTCACATGTTTGGAATCGGCATTCACCAACCTTCGTCCACGATGAGCCGCACCAGAGTCGGCTGCATCCACTCAGTAAATGTATGTATGACTTTGTTATCTGAAAATGGGCCCGTTTGTTAGTTAATCATCGGGTTTCCAGAGCGCGTCAACTGCAATAGTTATTTGCGCCGAAAATGGGCCCAAACAGAAACCCTACGCATAAGAGCCTGGCCCGACCGGAGCACCACAACGGCCCACTTGCTGGACCTAACCACACGCTTTGGAACCGGTGACACCCTTCGCCCGCTGGTGAACGGACGGGAGACAGACTCATGGCATCCAGTCAGATCAGGCTACCATTCACGACAAAACCGCATCAAGCTGGTTGTCCTCTTCGCTTTAAAGACGCGGCGTAAAGACAAACGAATCAAACCTTTTGTCCTTGGCGCAACGGGCTCTTTAGGGTAGGCGGGCAGCTGGACCACCTCCAGCTGCCCAGCCTTCTTGGGCCGGCCGGTGTCCTCCAGACCAAGCGGGGCCGCCGTTGCCTCGCCGCACTGGCAGCTGGCTTTGTCGGCGCTGGTGGCCAGCGAAGCCGCGTAGTCGAAGCGCATGCCGTAACAGCTGATGACGCAGTTGATTGTGCTGTCGGCGGTGCTGGGGAACCATCGGACGGAGGCCGGCGCAGAGCTCGTGTAGTAGGTAGCCAAGCTGGCCGATTTCGGCGCATCTGCGTGCAGCGGCGGTCGATGTCAGGCACGCATTAGGGAGGAAGTGAGGACGAGTCACGTTCCTGGCGCGGCTAGTCAGCAGCGGCGAAGGCAAGACAGACAGAAAAGTCAGCGGGCTACGCACAGAGCCGTCGGGTGGTCTCACAAGCAAAAGAGCACCAATTTCGCCGGCCTTTCACCACCCAAAGGCTATTGGCAAACTGCGTGTCATGATCACACGTGCGACGTACCCTGACTTACGAAACGCTTGAAATGACGCCATCCAAACTACCATTACAACGCCGAAGAATCAATTACGAATTGCTTTAAAGGTTGCCAAACAAAAAATTAGCTACAATGTGGTAGAGCCCAACACAGTAAACTTAGCCTGGGTCGGGACATCTTCGAGACTGCGCGCCCAGACGATCTCCTGTGTCGCCATCGATCAGTTTTTGACGAAGGGGGCATGTCACCAAGCCTCTCATTACCTGGCGTCTTGGAGGTGAACTGGAAGTAGTTGTTGGGAAGGTGCTTGGCCTCGATGGTGTTGATGATTCTTCCTTTGTGGTTGCTGACGGCAATGGATGTGATCTCACCGCCTCCACCTCCACCTCCGCCTCCGCTTCCTCCTCCAACGACGGTCTTTAGCATGGCCAGATCAAACACCTGCACGAAGCCGGGCTGGTCCGGGTAGGGGGCGTCCATGGCGGGCACCTTGGCGGTGGCGGCGCAGAAGCACATCAGCTTGTCGCCATTCTTCTGCAACGCCATGAACCACAGCTCCTTCGCCATGCAGTGGTGCATGCACTCGGCGGCGGCTGTGGTCGTCCCCATGCTCTTCCAGACGTCAACGCTGGGAGTGCTGGTGCCAGCGAGGCCCGACGGCACCAGATCTGCGAGGCAGAGGCGGCGGACGCTCACTGGACCGACATGGCACGGCACCAGCTGGCTCAGTGGACGACCATACACCACAACAGCTGACGCCACGGCTCGACGACTCGCTAGCGATAGCCATGCAAGAGAGCGGCAGTTGAGAATCTGGAATTGACTGGTGGCGCGCCTGCTCGTGACATGTTGGCTTGCGAAGGCATACGCGCTGGTAACATGATGTGCTGGTCCTTCGAATGGCCCACAGGCAATAAGAGATAGGGTTGTAATCTCTGGGGGCTGTATGCTATCACTTGCGATCCCTCACGCGCAGTCATCGTATGTGTGTGCCCACACACGCCTATGCACTGTGTGGAGCATTACTTACTGTAATTGATGAAAAGACGGTAGTAGTAGGCAGGAGTGCGGGATTCCGAGAAGGAATACGCTGGAATAAACGGTTTGATTTAGATCTAGACTAGATAGTTCCGCAACCTAACATCACATCGATTACAACAATGTCAGCTATGCTCAAGCTGAAATACGCGCCGATTCCATGTAGCAAACGCCTCCATGTGGGGATGGGATGGGCGTCTCCCGCCACCATATTTCAAATACAATTCGCACAACATTCCCAGGGATCTCATAGCACCCCATCAAAAACAATATCAACTTCCTAAGAGAGAAGGCTCTCTCGCCTGCAAGTTCAGGGGAGGGGGGGGGGGGGGGGAAGACAGCTACGCCGTGCAATCACACCGTTTCCAACCCAAAGCCCGTCAGTGCATCTGCACA